AAAATTTGCAACAACCGACGGGATTTTTCTAGTCGGATTCCAATGCAATTCCGTTTCCAGGAATCCGTTCGGAGTTTGTCAGATGGTCGGATCCGGTAAGATCCGATCGGATCCAGCATCGGATTTGTTGACCTGGGTAGATGTCATCTTTTGAATATCAATATTGTTCATTTGCAATACTTCTCGAAGAGAAGCAATAATATGATCAGCTGTTTCATTGACTAGTTCAACGACTTCAATCACTGATCGTTCAATACCACGTTCAATGGTGAAATAATTAACAACAACTGGAAACATTTTCTTGTGACCTTTGTTTGATCCATCAAATGATAAAGAATGAAAACCGACTTTGTTAAGGTTTTCTGTAATTTGAGCAGATATAAATGGAGCTATAAAGAAGAAAGAGTGTATAAAATAAGAGATATTAACGAGAAATACTCGTATAACAAGATTTGGCTTTCTTCGCTCGTTCTTCAGTACACTTTTGTTTCAGAAAAGGATTTTTACTTACCCAAAACATTAACTGCAATTTCACGAGCTTTAGTCCGTCCACGTGTGAGATTTTTTCCAATAGTTGAATCTTGAAACAACTTTGTCGAAACATCAGCAGTACATGCTTGACTTGAATAGCTGTGTCCATGACGTATCCCATGATAAACTAATGTAATTTCAGCAGCAATCAACTTGATTAATTCACTTGAGGAAGGAATAAAATCCAACATTGAATGTGCTAAAAAAGCCAGTAAATCAACTTAATGAGTTTTCGTTTGTATTCATTAATAAATCAAATCATTACATTTGTGTTTAGCTTCTGCTTCTGTTAGACGCTTATGATTCGTTTGTTCAAGATGACAATCGATTAAGTACTTCCCACCATTAGCGATTGCAAAATTCGATTTACACACAGAACAATGTGCAAGTCATGAATCTGTTCGACATTCTTGTAGAAATTATGCATATTTCGAAATTTTTATCCAATCTTTGTTGAATTTGCAAAATCTTTTTGATTTTGATGAAGAATTCAATGAATGTTTCTCAACATTCGAAGACAATTTGGAGATAGGACTTGATGTTTCTTTTGATGTTATTGTTCTTTCGAATTCGAGTGTTGTCGAACGATTCCGTTTTTCGATGACTTCAATATCTCCTTCAGCAGAATTACCGTTGATCATTTGATGCCTATCTAAAATCTATAATGATTCTTCGATATTTTGCAATAAATATACAGGCATAGTTTTCATTTTAAGATGAAAAATACTATGAATTAGAAACAGAATTTATTTCCGATCATTCGAATAAAATGGCAAAAGAAAAGAAAATCAAATGCTTTGACTATGAATAACAAAGTCGTGTATTGATCTTAAATAAACCAATATAATTCACTCTTCGTATATCTCTATAAATAAAGATGTCGACTACAGTCAATGCATTTATCGATTTTTACTAAATATGACTTTAATTTTCTTCAAAGAAAAATAGTCCAAATAGAGTACAGATTCTGTACCTCTGAGTTACAAATTTTTTGAGGTGCAAATCGTTCAGATGGGGTACTGTACCCCCAAATGGGGTACGGATGGGAGGCCTGCTTTGGGATGGGATGGACGACCATATCCGAAGATAATGGAATCGCTTATTTCCTATGTTTTCGATTGCGGTCAGATTGCGACTCAGTTGCGCCGCAATGATCACATTACCACCTATTTCTATTTCAACTCTTTTACACCTACTATTACAACGATAATTGGTGATGAAACCACCTAAGCTTTTGTGCTTTATAATTCATCTACTCTTATTTATTAAATCACCTTAGAACCACACAATTTTTTCGACGAAAAGGTGTATAATAAGCGAAATAGTATCGCTCAAAGGGGCTGATCGTTAGAGAGATCCTGCTTTTACCGATAGCTGCACCCATCTGCCGTCATTCTTCGCTTTTCGATAATAATGGTCCGCTTTTCACTAGCCCGTGACCCATTCGCGGCATCCACCAACCTATTAATGACCCAAAATACATGAAAAGCACTTACCTATGCATCATCGATGATACCATCTTGGTTGAAAAGATGACTCATTTCTCGATGACGCATCATATTTTAAGTGCCACTTACCCTTCGAAGCTTATCGCTGTCGTATCAAGTTATCTGGTAATTGAAAATGGAAAAATGAGATTAAATGGTTTTTACATTCATTTTTATACTTGATTATCAGCACTGGCGGTTATTATTCAAAAATATCCATTAGATTGGCTACACAAATGCGTTAACTGCGTCTCAGTCAGGTTACCAACTGTTCAGGTCTCAAATGAGGTATCGGAGATGAGAAATGGGGTGCACGAGAGGTACAAAATTTCTTCGGAAATATATCAGATCTATTCGAAGAAGAAGTCCACAAAAGACTTATTATTACCGGAAAATCATTTTATTTTCTCTCTTTGTAAGATATGTTGTGAGATATTTGTTTTCAGACAAAAAAGTCATATAAATAAAACCAGTTTCAATATGTTTCTGAATGAAAAAACTGGAATGTACAATGATTTTTCGATTTTCTTCAAGCCAGCTAAAATAGCAGCATGTAAACTTCTCAAATGCAAGGAGTTTAATCGATTCAAGATCGACTGTGACTTCCAGGACGTCGTGAGAAATGTAAACTAAGAAGACTAGTCATTGACAAACGATAATGCTTTATTTATATATAGTTCACTCATCAGATAATGAAATTCCCGTATCATCACAACTACGACAATACTGCCAGAGAATCACAGTCTCTTTTTAAATTTTTTGCTATAATCACCAACAATCCGTATTTTCACTGTCAAAATCAATGAAAGTCATCAGCTTTAGCAACGTATATATTCATAGTTTTATCATTAGTCTAATTACTCACTTGCAGCAGAGCCTTCGACTCTTTTTTAACTGATGAGACAGAATAGTTTAATACGGTCAGTTTGTTCAACTAAAGTGATGTGATCGGTTAATTGTCACCACCTTGTTGAAAGAGTTTCAAAAAATTCTCGATCCTGGAAATAACTTGTGAAGTCATCTCTTCAACAATTGGAGCAAAGCGCACGACAAGATCGTGAACTTTTAAGCAATTTGGACGACGTGGTTTTACATTTCTCATCTGCGCGAAATTCAGGAGAGAAATTGTAGCAAAAAGTCTGCTCTAGTTTTTAATAAAAAAATGTTACACTACGTATTGTTTAGAAGAGTTTATGAAAGAATATCGAAATGGGGTACAGTTGGTAACCCTGTTCGAAACCTTCTTGTGTTATTATACGTATAGCACAGACTCCAGAGTGTGCAAATACATCACTGATTAGAAGTTCTATTCTCCTTGTGAGTTCACGCGAGATAATACTCTGACCTCTTTGGAAACAGTTGAAAAACTTATAAGTTACCGATGAATTTTTCTACACTTTTCGCATCAGAATCTTTTTCGTGCGTTATAATCTTGACGTTTTTCATTGATATCGGTTCACTACATAATGTAGGTGTGCAATTCAACTACTAAGATCGATGTAACTAACCTTTTCAGTCACACCATGCTGAATACAGTACGCTTTTATTAAGCTATATATTTTTAAAAAAATATGTGAGTGTTAGATGATGTTGACGTTGTGTTTCTTCTAAAAGTAGTAAAATCTCTCATAAATGCAGTTATGTAGAATTTGGAATTTCAACGAGATCGTGTTAGGTAGTATATCTGATGCTTTATCAGGTGCACCCTCATCTCATTGGGCTAACCTGAGAAGTATATATTACCCATGCTGATTTGAAATCGGATGGTACAGCAGTTCTTTCTGATTTTAGTCTTTCTCAATTTGTCAAAGACTCAGCCGTGTGACACAGTTACTCGGCTAGAGGGTGGGGGAGGGTGAAGGCTACAACGGCATAGTCAGGGTTAATGTGAGCGGGATTCGTTACCGTTAGTTGGCTGATAAGATATAGTCATATAGTTAATAAATGATTAAGTAGTATATAACAGTCAGATGCCGATTACGAATGGCTATCATTTGCCCTGAATCACTGTCCCTACAAGTGTCCCTAAAATTTGTCCCTACATATGTAGGGACAAATTTTAAAAATGCTCGTAGGGACAGTGATTTAGGGCAAATGATAACCTACCCCGATTACTTGATAGTCTGTTGATTAATGATAAGTAATCGGTTGGTTAATATTTAATTAACAGTTACATAATAGTTAATAATCAGTCACTCAAGGTTTTACGATCAGTCACTTACGAATTGGTAAGCGGAAAACTCGAATACTCGAATTATAAATTTAGAAGTTGAAAAATCGAATTGAAAGTTTAATACTCGAATAGTCTCTTCGACTTTTACATGTATGGGCATTGTGTAAGTACATTCGATCGCTTGTTGGAATTTCTTTTTTCCAACTTTTCTTCATGACGGAATAAAACGTAGGAGGCGAATGAAAGAATTTTTTCACTATTTCTTTTGTTTGTTGACGTTGGCTGTTAGTGAATAGTATATTTAAGATCCGATTTTTTTTCTTTTTAATCGAAAGTTAACAAATATTTCGTCGCAACATTAATGGCGTCGGAAAAGTCTTCAACAAAGCCTCAATGGCTATGGCAGTCAAATCCAAATCCATTCACATCAGATGAAAAGGAGGAATGGAAAACTTACTTGGAAGAACCTTCGGAAATACTCGAACAAGCATATAGGAATGGAGACCAGTATGCTTATTTGGAGGAACATACTATAGATCTTACAGAATTTATCCAATTTCGAACGAAAGATCCATCCAGAAGAAGACCTATAAAACGGGTTCTAATTGACAAAAGTAATTTCGAATAGAAAGATGAAACATGAACCTCTAGAAAAATATGTATCTACTATCTTTTTAGAGTCATTGCTGAAACCTATAAAAGAACTTGGACGCGGTGCGTTTGGTACAGTATATCTAGGCACGTATGGTAATAGTCAAGTAATCGCTTATAAAGTTATAAGATCAAATTCATCCAAAGAAGCGATGAGAGAAGCGAATATCTTGAAAACGCTGAGTCATCCGAGCATTGTTCGATACATCGATGTCATTCCTACGGCAAACCATCTATTACTGGTCATGGAATACATAGATGGAGGTACAATATTTAAGTACATTCGAAAGACATCATATTCAAATAAGTATTGGAGTGATTGTAAGAAAATGATGATCGCTGTGGCCTATGCTCTGAATTATTTGTCTGAAAAGCACATTATCCATGCTGATTTGAAATCGGATAATATCTTATTGACATCAGATAATACAGCAGTTCTCTCTGACTTTGGTCTTTCGAAAGTTGTCAAAGACTCAGACATACCATTCAGCAACGCGGCTAGAGGTAGGTTATTTCATAGAAAGAATTTTTTTGCTACGGTATGCGTTTTAGGCGCTATACGATGGTGGGCACCTGAACTTTGCGCCAGTCGTCGGGAGCCACCTTCGTATTTCTCCGATGTGTGGGCTTATGGATGCGTCCTTTTGGAAATAATAACGAAAAAATATCCTTGGGAAGATTTTTTCGGAGACAACAGCGAACTGATGGATGCTCTTACTGATGATCGCAATATTAAAGCATTCGAACATTTTTGTTATAATCTGAATGCGCCGGACAATTTCCATAAAATACTTCGTTCCTGCTGTTCTTGGTCAAAAAATCATCGGCCAAATTTCAAAAGAATTATCAACGATTTTAATGAGTTACCAAGTGCCAATAGTAATGCTCAAAATAAATCTGAAGTCTCATTTGACTTAAGTGAAGATGAAAGTTATCCATCATACCCAATTCCACGACCACAGCTTCCATTATATCCTAAAAAGACATTAAATTCTACATCCTCTACAAGCAAATATGATGATGAAGATTATTCATCATATCCAACTCCACAACGGCAGTACTCGGCACGCCCTAAGAAGACGTCAAACTTCACATTCTCTTCCAGTAAATATGATGATGACTAGACGCTGTAATTCTTCTGTTTTCTTGTTCGTTATTTTTCTTTGAGTACGAATATTCTCTTCGAGGTCGACGTACTCGACAACAGGATTGAAAACATACAAAAAGAAAACTATCTGATAAATATCAGTGAAGCAATCTTCAGACAACGATCATCAACATTTTATCGCTAAAATACATTTAGTTGTTACACAGGTGTCATTCACGTCAAATGTTGATATTTCTCTTAACTGATAGGTCGTATATGTACTTTTACTTCAAACAACCCTATCTGGCATTTGATACACGTGAATATATTGATCAGTTGACAATCAGTCATGCATGCTCATCATTCATACGTTAATTGATAGTTATGAAGTATTATACATATAAGAAAGCGAAACGTTAACTGTACCATTAGTCGATTCACGTCTCATAGAGCGAACAGGTAAAGCGAATAACAGTCAAAGTAAATATATATTTTCAATATTATTTTTCTCATCATTGTCATTCATCAAAAACAGAAATTATCAATGATAAACAACATGGAAATGTCTAATTCAGATGGACAATACGAGCCGATGCAAAAACCCTCGTAATATTTGCTACTTCTTTTGCTGCATCTGATACGACGCTTTTCTATAACGATTTCTAAAAGTCAACAGTGTATTGAGTAATCTACTGTTGTTCTCATTTTTCAGAATGTTCGGTTCAAAACGAATCAAGATCGGTCTTGCAGTATTTTTAATTTTGGGTCTCCTGGCAATTGCAGTTGTGATTGTTGTTTCTTTGATTCCAGTATTCTTTGAAAATACTGCAACAAGCTCAACGACAAGTTCGTCGAAAGGTTATAAAATGAATTTGTGTGTAAAATAATCTACTGATATCGCATTACTTTAGAATCAAACTACATTACGAATACATATGCTTCAACTCTTAACCTCACCAGTACACAAAATACAACGGTTACAGACACAGCCAGTGTTGCTCGACAAGTCAGATACTTGACTACTAATTGCATACTAATCTCATCAATTGAAATGTCTAGTTAGAAACAGCTGCTGGTTTAACATCGAATTCGATCAACGTCTACGATGTCCAATTCACTACCGACAGCTCAAGCAGTACCGGTCGTCGTCGTCGTGATTTAGAGAATCAACGCAACAAACGCCAATCGTATGTACGATACATTTCGGTAACAACTCTATCAGTGAATATTTTTCTGTTCAGGTTTCAATGTAATTCCAGAGCATTAAGTCAAAACTTTACCCGTCTCCTAATCAAACTGACCATCGTTTACCCAAAATCATGTGGTGTATCACTGATTTGCAAGCAAAAATTTCTCACGAATGCTCAAAGTCGTCTCGGCGTCAGCAATAATTTTCCTCTCCAATTTACATTTGCTGACGGACGACCATTCAATTTTCAAGTCATGTTCTGTAATTCGGTCGTAGAGTCAACATCTCCAGGCACTTCAGGCGTTACAACCACAGCAGCAGGTACGGTCCTAAGCAATTGAATACTTAGTATCTAGACGTAGGAATATCATTTGACACGCAAACGAGTGAAAACTTCAAATACAAAAAAAAGAGCGCAATAAGTAATTTTCCAGGAACGTTGTTTAAGCCGAATAACATACCAAAACGAGTATAATTACTTTCAGTAATGAATATGAAACATACTGTAGATTGTATCACGGTCTAATCAGAAAGGGAATCATTCAAAATAAAAGTCAGAAGCAATGTAAAAACGTGATCGATAGGTGTGTTGACTTGATTAGTGCCTTGGAGGGGATTCAGGTATCCTCTTAGTGATCGTACTTTCATTGTGCAGGTGCAACCTCAACAACGTCTGGTACTACGACTACAACCACCACAGTGTTCACTCCCAATCTTTTCCAACAGCAAGCGTTGGCACAAACGAATGTCGATCGCGCAGTATGCTGTGCTCCTGCGATGATACTAGATGCCGATATAACGGCAATCGCGCAAACTTATGCACAAAAATTATGCGATACGAATACTTTTGTACACAGTGGAAATACGTATCAAGGGAATTGGTTAGGTGAAAATATATGGGATTATGGTGGAAGTGGTCAAACAAACATCAATTCTATCAATGGTAAATCTATTTGAAAAAGAATTTACAATCAAA